TCGTTCGGGAGGCAGACTGCCCAAAAGGTCGAAAAATTCAACATTTGTCGCAAGAAAGGAAGATCAAGATTTTTTTGCCATAAACAGTGGTCTAAAGACGGTCGTTTGGATCTTGATAATTATTTCCGTGAAGGCCACCCCCCCCCGTCCGAGAGAAAAAAAAATCTCCGAAATAATCACGCCGTAAGACTCAGCCTGAGCGAGACTCGAGTCGTCGGCCTGAAGCACTCTTGTTTACGGCCTGTTTCCGCCATATGTTTGCGCCGCTCCGCCGGGAGGCAAACTTTGATGACGCCGCACAGCTGGCAGAATGGACCAGCACTGGGAGAGCGGAGAGATTAATAAGGCATACACCTGAAATATCCACTATATATAGAATCTTGGACCTGTCCTGTGGAAGCCGAGCTAGACCTTCGCGCACATGTACACCTTCAAACGCGGCGGAACTTCCTAAACCGCCACACGTACCACGTCCGGACGTCCGGTCTTGAGTCTTTGCTCTCGCTACATCGGCCTATGTAATGATGCGCTGTAGTCCTCACCGCTCTTCAAGCCTCTCTTGGATTTATCTACCATTTCTGGACAGGTGTTTTTCTGTTTTTCCTACGTCGGCGGCCGGAAGCCGCTGTATGGCGTGCCTCCGAGGAGAATCTTCATTTCTGCCTTCGGACACATGGGGCGTTAGGGCTAGCAACAAAGTCCAGGCTTTCGTAGACAAGGTCGGCATCGCAAACAGGTTTCCTGGCTTGAACGAGGAGGCTCCAGGCGAAAGCACCCTCGCAATGCTGCTGCACAAACGTCTGGCTTGCGTGTTAAAGCTGTGCCACAAGCGCGACGAGCAAGAGGTGAGCCAGAACGGAATGGAGAGCGCGAAAGGCAGCGCGGATGCCGCGACCCCGCGCCACGCCAAGGGTTTGGAGGACCGCACCTGAACCACACACGCAGTCGAAGCATCAGGTGGCTTGATAGGTACCGCACTTCGCCTGAAGAGGTGGACGCTGTGCTGTGGGCTGTGGCTATCACGAGATGCAGTTTGGACATGTGCGGTGGGCCCACCCACGCCCGTGGGCAATGCGTCTTCAATCAAGTTCTGACGATGCCGTTAACTCGGGGTAAGGACGTTGTTGAATCGTTTTGAAAGTAGCCCAGCGGGACAATATCCCTGCACGCATATGTTCAAATACACAGGTGGCAGCCAACAGAAGACTTCCTGGCAACAGCAGTTAGTCTACCACATTGTAGTGCAGATCGTAGATGCTGCTCAGGCCCCACACGGAACAGACTTGCGGGAAAAATGGGAACGTACCCAAAAATGAGAATTGGCGTTTTTCTTCAGAACCATCGGGTGTATCACAGAACCAAAATTATCCTGCGAAACCCCTTCGCCCCAGCTGTGAGATGAGCTCATCAGAACCGCCATGCTCCACATCACGCCTTCTCACGGGCGCAAAAAGCGATTCGTGCTGGTTTCGACCTGATTTCTCGCGATGCTGGCTACATCGGCGATGCCGAGGACATACAGCTTGAGCAACAGCTCGTCATTCGAAAGCTGCTGTAAAGACCTACAGCACTGTCAACTTTTTGGGGGGGGGTTGCAAAGAAAGGCGTGGTTTTCTCTCTAAAAACAAACGCCCATTCTCATTTTTGGGTACGTTCCCATTTTCCCCGCAAGTCTGTTGATAGATGTTCGTTTTTTTATTTTATTTTTTCTATCGCTTCTTCTTTGTTTTATCTTTCTTACAAACCCGACTATGCTACCATCACTAACACGGTTGCACCCAGACAATCTATTGCATTTAGGTACCCTAACTTATGATACAGAGGAAGTATACGTACATATCCAATTCGACAAAAGACTTCAGCTGGGGAGAGCAGATGCAGCTGAGAAAAAAAGGAACGAGATGACGGAGCGTATACCGGGATTGTGTGCATGTGGCAGAATATCACGTGCACGGGATGGTTTCTGGTGCCATTTTTTTTTTCTTGAAGGGACAACCCGCGCTTTTTCTCTTGTGGTTCATTAGCGGTATGAAGGGATTTCATCACTGGGTTTTGCGAAAAATAAAGAATAAAGGTGTACGGGTAGCGCAGTCGAAAGGTGCCCGAGTGCAGTATCCTTGTAGTGAAGGCCATCGCCAGAATCTGGGGCTCCACTCTTGCTGTAATTTTGGGTGTGTTCTCATGCAAGCTCCCAACATATTCGCTCACGGGCACACGAACAGCAATTGGACGTCTCAAATTGACCTTTCGTAGTCCTTGTGCCCAACGGTACTGAGGTGCACGCGTCACTCGGCTGCAGACAAAAAAGCTGCTGTTGTTGGCCTACATGGCCCAGCCACGCGAGCGGCCCTGTCCGCTTATACTAAAAACGCGACACGCCTAGAAACGACGTAATACTACACCTAACCCAACCCTCCTTGGTTGAAGAACCAAACACACGCGGCAACTGTCCTCGGTCGGAGTGGCTGCCCCTATCCTCGTAAATTATTCCTCACCTAAAGGGTGTGTCGCCCGTTACTCGTAGCATGCAAGCTTGCCCTTGGAGAGCACTGGGCAACGACAACACCAACTTTAAAGGACGCAGACGCGGCTTGTGCGGTGAGGGCTATCCATGTCAGACAAGTTTTCGGACCGAAATCAAAATCCAAATTCAAAACTGGACCGAGTGCCAATGTTCCGCCGCCGGATTTTGGAGGTGGGGGGTTGTGTGGTGACAATCTATCGACGCGGAAAAATCAAAAATGAGCCCGAACAGACTCCAACATCGAAATATCAAATGCCGACCGAGCATGAAGTTGCTTATCCGAACCTCAAAAACATCGTACTTGCCTTCATTTCGATACTTGGCGATGCAATCAGTACCTTCACAGACAGCTGACATCCAGCAGAGCACGGTGTACTTTCTTTGAGCGAGATACGCTCTGAACTGAGAGAGTCATCGCCGTGAAATTCTTTCTTTTGTCAACGCAAGTTAACGGTAGCTTTTCCGGCGTCCTACATCAGCCCGGAGCATTCAATCACACATTGCTCGCTGGGTTGGAGCGCATCGATGCGAGACCAACATCCTCCAGCCCGCCTGATCATGGCCGTTGCTTGGAGCTATTGTTCGCTATCTTGAGTGTTGTGTCGCTCTCGCGGGTCATGGTTTGGATCATCGCAACAGGCATTTTCGGGCCTTGTTCGCGTCTTCCGGGTTGAATTTCTATAATTGATTCCCCATCTGGGCCACGTAAAGCCAACCCGGAATCAAAAATCAAAATCCTCACCATTTGTTTGACAAGGGCCACCCTGACCGTTTAGCCCCATCTCCTCCTTCCCGATTGGACACATTCGCCGTCTCCATTTTCACCTGGCGAGATTTGTCCTTTGGGAACCTGCGTATCAACATTAACAACCTCCGTGCTCTCGAGGTGTCCCCAATCCTGTCCCAATTGGAAGCTTGCGAGGGGTAGCTGGGGGCGAAGCCCGAACCTACCTGGAGAACCACCCATCTAACGCCTACCTGCTGTTCGTGGCTCCCGCGAACGACAAGCAAGAGTACCGCCGACCATCTGTAGAGTACATGCTGCCACGGACGGCATCAGCCTGCTGCAAGAAAACGAGCTCGAAATACAGGCACACCCCTGACAAGCGCGAGTTTACCTTTCTCTCTGTGTGAGATATGTGCTCCGCGTCAAGCAGTCTTGCCAAAAACAAAAAGCGGATTGACAGCTCGTTAAGCATTAGTCGTTCAAAGCAACGCGTACGACCAACATCTCAGACCACTGTTGGGCGTGACCGCATGCACTGATTCCTCTCCTCGCCAAAACTACACAGCAGCAATACACAGATGGTGCTGAACACACACGCTTTTGCTCGACAGGCCCTGCGAGGTTCATCCGTCCGAGTCCTACCCAGTAATTTGGCCAAAGGCAGCAGCACCGGTTAGCACCTTCCTTCGCTTCTGCCCGAGCCCCGTGAAGGGTTCCACCGCGGTAGCTCTAAATACGTCCCCGGGACATGAACCTGCCATGCCGCCTCTTCCCATCGCACTGCTACTGCGTACGGAAGTCGCAGGTGTCCCAGCGTCGTCCCATTCTCTCTTCACACCACCCCCTTCTACCTCTACTGGTGATGCTGGCGGTAAGGGCTTTTTCTTGTGGCCCTTGGTGCGTTTGCGGTAGCGGCCTACCGTTTCAGTGAGGTCGACCATCTCATTGGAGGCGTGTTTCGCACAAAACCTTGCCGTTTCGCTGGTGCTCAACCGGAAACCGTGGGTTGGCACTCCGGTGCACCCTCGGCTGGTACACCTTTTCCTGTTGCCCACATCAGGTACCATCTCCTTCCGAATGGAGCGTCGAGTACGTGTCTGTCTCTTCTTGGTGCCAGCGAAGGTGGCCGCCAATCCGTTCTTGTAACGCTTCGAGCCAAAATCTGCCTGCTTGCTGCCTTCCATGCCGCACGACGCAGCCATGCTGCCGCCTACGTGACGGCACATTTTCTTGGCCCTTAGGTTTACTAGGCCTGCCGGCGCATGTTGCGCACAAAACATGTACTTCTGGGATCCCTCCGAGCCGTGCGACGCCGCCTTCCCACAATCTGGGTGATTACATCGCTTGGCGAATAGGCTGAACGTGTTCGCTGTCGCGTGAACCACACAGAAAATTCTCTTCCTGGACCCCTCCAGGCCGTACGACGGAACCGTGTTGCAACCTGGGTGGCGGCATCTACTGGACCGAACGTTCACCATGCCATCCTTACCGTGGGACGCGCAGAATTGCGGAGTTTTGCTGCCCTTGACGCCATACGCTGGCTGCTTGATGCAGCCCGGGTGAGCGCACCTCTTGCTTATGACGTCTACCATTCCGTCTAGTGCGTGTTTGGAACAAAACTCTCTCGTGCGGGTCCCATCATCGCCGAAGCGAGCCGCGGTGTTGCAACCTGATTGACGACACTTTTTGGTCAAAACGTTCACTAGCCCTGCCGGCGCATGCTCCGCACAAAATGATGCCGTGCTAGAACCCCCCACGCCGTGCGACGCCGCCTTCCCACAACCTGGGTGACCACATCGCTTGTGTAGGAACCTGGTCATGCCCGCTTTCGCGTGATGCACGCAGAAAATTCTCTGCTTGGATCCCTCCAGGACATACGACGGAAACTTGTCGCAACCTGGGTGGCGGCACTTGCTGGCCCGCAGGTTCACCATGCCATCCATACCGTGAGGCGCGCAGAATCGCGCAGTTTTGCTGCCCTTGAAGCCATACGTTGGCTGCTTGGTGCAACCCGGATGAGCGCACCTCTTGCTCCTGAGGTCGACCATCCCGTCTGGTGCGTGTTTCGCACAAAACACTCTCGTGCGGGTCCTTTCATAACCGAAGCGAGCCAGGGTGGTGCAACCTGAATGACGGCACTTTTTGGACTTGACGTTCACTAGTCCTGCAGGTTCACCATGCTCCGCGCAATGTGTTGCCGTGTAGGAACCCTCTACGCCGTACGTAGGACGCCGTTTGTTGCAAGTTGGATGGGCGCACGTTTTCCGATCTAAGTTTGCCATTTCATCCGTTCTGTGCTTCGAGCAAAATTCTGCCATCATTCTGCTGGCGGTCTGAACGCCGAATGTAGCCTTGAGCCGGCAACTTGGGTGCCTGCAATGCGAACGCGATGGCAGAGATGACGGTGAAGTGGAGCTGCGGACAGAAGCTCCGTCTTGGTCCAATGGTTGAGCCCCAGATTCAGGAACTGGCACGCTGGCAGCGGCAGTATCATCGCCAGCAACAGAAGAGGCAGCGGTCCCGTCTTGGCCAGGAGCGGTGCATGTACCAAAACTCACGATGGCGGGGCTGGATTCCGGCGCAACGCTCTCTGGCTCCAGCTCTGTTGCTGGTGCCACCGATGCTTGACGAGGGGCAGCTGGAGGAGGAAGAGGAGGAGGAGGAGGAGCAATATTCAGAAAGGAGTGGATGGAGGAACCGCCTGTTGAAGTTCAGCGCAATACTGCTGTAGGATGCGTGTAGTAATATCGATGTAGCTGCATGATTACTGTATGCAATTTGAAACGTACATGCGGTGTGATAAGTGGCGTTTGGTAGAACGTAACACGTAGCGACGAGTAGCTCGTAAATGATTCGATTGATGATCGCAAGACTCTAATTGTAGCGACATCACGAGGTGTTGCACGCCCGATCAGACTCACTCCCAACTATCCCTGTCCTACCGATCTCTGCAAGTGAGCTAGGCTCCGGTGCCACCGGCGGGGAAATGACCAAAGTCCCACTGAGGCAACAATGATACCATCTTCAGTCTCGACGACTGCACGCAGGCTTAACCGCTTGCAGACAACCCTTGGGTAAAGGGCACCTCGACACTACACATTTTTACACCGCCTACTACTAAGACGCAGAACTCGGCTGGATGGACGAGTGCAGAAGAAACCAGGTCCAAAGGCATGAGGGCCTACGTACGCAGCAGTACACTATGCATGCAAACCACAAAGGTGTTCCGCAGATTTCCACTATGTTGTTTATCGATCAGAAAATTAGGTTTGACATCATAGACCATGTAGGACACCGACACTGCTGTGTAAATTCGTCCTTGCTTAAAATACACACATCACATAAGCAAACTCCCCGCTTGAAGGACACGAAAATCTCAAAAAGCAGGGTGTCACGCGGATATGAAATATTGGGCGGCACCGTTTTCATCAGACGGGACCCCCAAAGTTATGCTGCCGCATACATGTACCACTGAGTGCAAAATTGTTTCGGTATCTTGGATATTTTTCCGTAAAATTATGCTTGGCTTGGTAAATAGAAGTATGCCATTCAGTACCTTCTTTGTTGTCATTATCACCTTTGGACAGCGATGGGGTTCCATCTGTTCTCGGTTGTCTTTGTTTTTTTGGCGCTGCCTACCGACACTTGTAGCTTCGTTTCATGTACATAGGTTTGCTCCTTCCCTACTTTGCAGGTAGCCTGTGGCAGAGACGGTGATCGCTTCAGGTCTACCACGACGGTTGGTTACGTTTTGGGGGGGTGCTGACGATATGCGTCTATCGCTGGGCAAGGCTTTCAACGTGGGGGTGACACCAAAACAATGCAAATTACAAACAAATACAAACAAATTCAAGAGCAACTTTAAACAGCGCACGTGTTGTTTTTAAATACCTCGTCCTACGGCACTATATCGACTGTTGGCGGAAGTAAATGTAGGGGGTGGGGAGTTACATGTCATGGTTCAACAGCGCGAACGACGGGGTAATGCACGGAAGTACGTCCGACTTTCAGTCATCACCGCCACGTTGTGATCATACGTTTTTGTTGTTTTCGTTTCGTGCTAGCAAGTATGGTTGCCGCCATTGCTCGTCTCTTGACACACAGTTGGGGCCCGCGAATAAGAAACCTCATTCTCGCGTAGAGGCTCAAAGTCCTATTTCTGGAGGAAACACCAGAAGCATCAAGGAGTAGGTTTCTTATTTCGTGGTATATTTCTGACTGGCAGATCCCCGTGGATATTCTTAAATGACTGTTTCTTTTTGTTAGGCTCTATGGTTTGGCTTTGCCTACCGGTATGACTCAGTCTTTTGTCGTTTCTTACGTTCTACATGATTTCGACAAAGCAAATCCATCCTCCGTGCACGAACGTCTCCAAACGGACAAGTGCGAAACACAGCTATGGAAAAAACACCTCCGGACGATTCGTCTAACTGGCGCCGCCAAATACAGGCCGGAGGGCGGGTGGGTGTACGTAGCAGAGTGCGCGTTTGTGTTTCTTATGAGGCACGGTGAGCTCCGGTCCCCTAGTTTCTTATCTCTCATGCCTCTGTGGGCGTGTGTTTCTTATTCGGATGTTTCTTATCTTTGCGTCGGTTTTGAGGTGTGTTTGTACTGTGTATGACACAAGACAACATATCCCCTGGACCGATTTTCAAGCTCGATTACTCCAAGACAAAGAGGATTTGTGAACGAAACGACACATTTTCGAAAATCTCCCGACGGGACAGTTCCAACGTTCCCGTTTTCAGCGCTGCGACTCGTCCTGCTGTTGAGAAATCGAGCTTTGAAGATCGGTCCGGGTGTGTGTTATCTTGTGTCATACACGGTAGTCACTTTTTTATGATGATCATGAAAAATTGACGCTTCGTTTTTCTTAAATATTTTACTTGACGGGCCCCAGCACCCCAACTGCATGTTACACCTCCTTCGACCCCTGGGACGGCGAATTATTACCCCCGGAATTTTACATGGCACTTCCCCGCGTTAAAATGAACTGTTTCTACTGCTAGTTCACACAGACAGTAGTCCCTCCGCAAAAAAAATGTCGAAAAATGTTTGTCAGCCATTGGTCGAGGGGCTAGAGTCCCTCCATAGAATCGGAGCTCCTTGCCATACAAATGGTGACTTGGCCTCAGTATAAGAAGTATCCCCAGAACACGTGGGGACCCCTTTCACACTAGACCCAAGTCAGTATTTCCAGCACAGGCGACGTACAGCAGCAGTATTACGACCTGGGGGGCACGCGGGTTGAGAGATGTGTACAGCAAGTCAGAGGCCCAGGAGAGGCGTAACAGAGCTAAGTAGCATATCACGCAGCGTACCACCTCAGCCAAGCATGACCGACCAAGGGTTCTCACGTGCGTTGCACACAGCGGAGCCTAGGATGACTGCAGTGCAGTAAATAGGCATTTGAGTGCTGTGTCCCCGAAGTGTCCCCCTTTGAGCCAGTACTGCTACTTCTGTACGACAAGTAGTCTAGGAGAAGCTGGGCGAACCTTCTGCCGGATCTCTTTCAAGAACATCCAAATCCAGGGTTTCGACACATTCTCCAACGGGTCAGCGTTGGAGGGAAGAAAAAGCACCATTGGGTAGAAAGAAGAATCACGCCCAAGACAAAGAACCGCACATCATGGAGTTCGCAACACGAATCATTATCATATTTTTTTTTTGCGAAAAGAGTGGCCCGCATAGGGGTACGCTTTTTGTTTTGCAAAAAAAAAATTGTTTAGAGGGATCGTGTGTGAATGTCTGTGCGCACGAGATAAAGAATAATTTTCATGCCCAGGGGCGTGAAAATTTCGCAAAGGCTGTCCGATGTCTGTCTGGTGTCTGTCTGTCTGCGCGTCCTAAATAACCCAGCAGACTCGAGCCCATTTCACCATCTCGGCACCAAATTGCAAACTAAAACTTGCGCACAACAAGTAACATTTTGCCCGAGCTGTCCCAACCGCTACCTTTGCAATCCGTGGTCGGTGTCTCGAGATAGCACATCGTTTGTGCAAATATATATGCCACATGGACGCATCTCCGACTTCTCGGCCGGGAGGGGTCATTTTTGTTTTTTGGGCAACAAACTACACGCACGCAAGGAACCACGACGCACTGCCGTGCTGCACGCACTGCTGCTGCTACTGGCAAGACACGCACTACACAGAGACAGGGAGCATGGACAAGGGGGGCGGGACACACACACATACTGCTGTTAGCGACGGCGGAGGAAGCGGGGAACGTTTGGTTGGTCTGGGGTTCATCAGTGATGATGTTGTTGTTGTTGTTTCCGTTGTTTGTTGTTGTTCAACGCTGCCGGCCTTTTCGCCTTTTCTCTGGAGACAGAGGGAGTCCCGCCAACCAGCGTGTGTTGCACACAGCACACAGCGAGAGCGGGACGGGAGCAGGGTGTGCCCTATACTACTGCTGCTGCTAGCTTTCGGCGGAGGAAGCGAGAGGAGAGATATTGATTGGGTCTCTGTGGGTCCATCGGTTGGTTGTTGTTATTGTGTTGCGACGCGGCGGGAGGGAGCGGCCTCTGACTCTGCTCTGGAGAGAGGCACACATACATCACAGCACGGGACCAGTAACACATCACGCTCGTTCCTAGACGATGTAGTACCACTGCTGTGCTGTGCACCTCTCTACACTCATTGTGGGCGAGAGGGTGTGTCGCCTCTGCTGCTGCTACTGTTACCTAAAGCGGTGGCACAATCAGCAGCAGCAGCAGCAGCAGCCGGAGAATTTTTCAACGTTTTTTTCTTTCTAGCTGATGACGATGGATAGCACCCCCCCCCTACTCGGATTGGGAAGGCCGAGTATTCCGTATACCTTCCTGAAAAAACACGAAAAACAAGTGGCCACGGTCCAGTTGCCGTAGAGATCATGAGGATGGTGAAGAAGCTTGGAGGATGGAAGCAGAAACTGTGGAAGGGAGAC